CATTGTATTCACATGAGAAAAACAATGAAAAAGGCAAAAGATTAGAATCAGGGCCGCAGATGGCTCTAAAATTACTTTCAGCAGTATCTGAAAATAGCGAGCCAATGTATCTGCCTATTGTTTTATTCATTCAGCTTCTCTTGAGGCACAATGCTATTTATTCCCTTTGGTAGAATTTAACAGCAAATATTCCAGGAAGTCAGTACAGGATATGGCAAAAAAAAAAAAAAAAGTTTCATAAAATACTCAAATCCTAAGTGTTTTGTTTCACAGCCATAATTCAAGAGCAGGTATGTTTTTGTAAATGTGGGCCAGCATTCCATGGCAAATTTAATGAAATACATTTCTGATTTTTATTGTTTTAAACCACAGACAGAAAATCACTTAAAAAATATAATGTTGCAATCATTAGACTGATACTGACTCAGACAAGAATCATCGATGTATGCTAAAACTAGCGGGTTAAATATTTAATGAGGAAATAGATATTTACATAGTCTCAAAGTATCTCTGCACAAATTACTTATTAATTATAAAGGGAAAAATACTAACTTAGCAGTAGAGAAACCTGGTGAACACTACCTTAACATCACTAATAACCAGATATCACATGCCTCCCAGTGTGAGGCACTGGGGACATGTCGTTGCTGTGGTGTTCATGCCAAAAATGAACACCCTGAAGGTAGCTGTCTTAGTCCATTTGGGCTGCAATTACAAAATACGTTAGACTGGGTAATTTATAAACAACAGAAATGTACTACTCACAGTTCCGGAGGCCAGGAAGTCCAAGATCAAGGTGCTGGCAGATTTAGTGTCTGGTGAGGGCTCATTGTCTGCTTCATAGATGGCTCCTTCTTTCTGCGTCATCACATGGCAGAAGGGATGAACAAGCTCCTTCGGGCTCTTTTATAAGGGCACTAATTCCATCCATGAGGGTGGTGCCCTCGTGGCTTCATCACTTCCCCAAAGGCCCCACCTCTTAATATCACCTTGATGGTTGGCTAAGTTCCAACCTACGAATTTTGGGGGAAGGCATACACACCCAGATCATAGAAGCAGTCATGAGGAAACATTGAATGAACCCCAGTTGAGGGGCATTTTACCAAATTGCAGGCTTGAACTCTTCTAAAATGTCAAGGTCGGCCAGGCGCCGTGGCTCACGCCTGTAATCCTAGCACTTTGGGAGGCCAAGGTGGGCGGATCACCTGAAGTCAGGAGTTCGAGACCAGCCTGGCCAACATGGTGAAACCCCATCTCTACTAAAAATACAAAAATCAGCTGGGCTTGGTGGCACACACCCGTAATCCCAGCTACTCAGGAGAATCACTTGAATCTGGGAGGTGGAGGTTGCAGTGAGCTGACATCGCATCACTGCATTCCAGCCTTGGCAACAGAGCGAGACTGTCAAAAACATAAAACAATGTCAAGGTCATGAATGCCAAAGAAAGGTAGAGGATCTGGTCTAGATTAAAGGAGACTAAAGTGACATTACAATTAAGTGCCATGTGTAATCCTGGTCTGGATCCTAGACTAGAAAAACAAAATTGTTATATTGGACGTTATTGAGACAATTAGCCAAATAAGAATACTGATTGTAGATTATAGTATTATATCAATGTTGAATGTCTTGATTTTGATGGGTGTATTGTGATAATATAAAAGAAAGTTTACAAAAGTCTATGTGCTTAGAAAATACATACCGAGGCCGGGCGCGGTGGCTCATGCCTGTAATCCCAGTACTTTGGGAGGCTGAGGCAGGCGGACTACCTGAAGTCAGGAGTTCGAGACCAGCCTGGCCAACATGGTGAAACCCCATCTCTACTAAAAATACAAAAATTAGCCGGGCATGGTGGCAGGCACCTGTAATCCCAGCTGGAGATTTGGGAGGCTGAGGCAGGAGAATCGCCTTGAACCTGGGAGGTGGAGGTTGCAGTGAGCCAAGATCGTGCCATTGCACCCCAGCCTGGGTGACATAGAGAGACTCCATCTCAAAAAAAAAAAAAAGAAAAAAAAGAAAATACACACTGATGCTCTTAAGAAATACTGTTAAGGGCCAGGTGTGGTGGTTCACACCTGTAATCCCAGCACTTTGCCAAAGCAGGCAGATGGCTTAAGCCCAGGAGTTCAAGACCAGCCTGAGCAACATGGCAAAACCCATCTCTACAAAAAATACAAAAATTCGCCGGGCATGGTGGCACACGTGTAGTCCCAGCTACTTGGGAGGCTGAGATGGGAGGATCACTTGTGCCTAGGAAGTTGAATCTGCTGTAAGCCATGATTGCATCACTGTACTCCAGCTTGGGTGACACAGAGAGACCCTGTCTCAAAGAAAAAAAAAAAACAAAAACAAAAAACCAATACCCTTAGGCTAGAGAGAAGAGTAAAGCAAATATCGCAAAATGTTAACAGTTGGTACATCTAGGTAAAGGGCATATGGGAGCTCTTTTGAGCATTTGTTTCTCTGTTATACCTGTTTTAGATTTTTCTAAGTTTTCTCAGCTTGAAATTATTTCAAAATGAAAAGTTAAAAAGAACAATTAAAATTAAGTAATGCCACCTCTATGGTCTGCTGCACTGGACCTCACTGAAGATTTGTGTAGGTCCAGGGTCATGCCCATCAAGCAGGATTTCGTAGGAGCTGTGACCGAGAACCTTGGTTAGAAGAAAGAGTGCGATGCACATTTTTCACAACTGGGAAAAGGGATGAATCTATCGTTGTATTTGCTTGTCTTCTCCCGGCGTTTTCCTTTGAAAGATAACAGTAAACTTGCCAGCCATGTCTCGTGATTGAGTCACATAGGACCTGACAGCTTCACGTTTGTGAGGCAGCACTAAGAGTAGAAATGCCAAAAGCATTAACAGCAGATAAATATTATTTGAAATAATGAAAAATCTTTAGCTGTTCAGTCTCATCTATTAAGCACAGCAAACTGTACAGCAGAACTAATTTAGCTGTGAGGAGAGGTAATCGCTGGACAACATTACTGATGTTCTCTAATCCTAAAGCTGTTTCATCACTACCTTTGTTTCAGACACGTAAAATTCTCTACAGTTTTGCTCAATCCTAGCCCTGAATCTTCTCAATCCACCTTGGAGACCCTTTTACCTCTAAGTATCCCTTCAACTGCTGGCAAAGTTCCAAGATAATATCTTACCTTCTATTTCTAGTGTAAGTCTGGCCCATTTGTCATGATTATAACAATCAACAAATGTCTAGTAGACACATATGTTATACAAAGGCACAGCCAAGCGTCTACCAGGAAAGTTACATGCACATCGTCTGTACCTCCATTTCTCTAAAATTTCTGTTAAAGTGCTCCTCTGGGTGGGCAGGCCTTGTCTTATTAAATTTGGGCCACATCCAGTCAACATGTTAGAAAGGTTTGGAGGGAGAAGGAATATTTCATTTGGTGATTTCTTCCCTGGCCTAAAGGAATTTAACGACATAGTTGGAAAGACATAAACACATCACAAGTTACAGTAATTTGTGTAGAGGAGTGAGGTGAGAAATAGGAAACCTTAATCCTGGTTTCCCATGAATTCGCTGTCACCATGACAGATGACATGATCTCAAGGCCTCATACCTCCTTTGTAAAATGAGATGGATGGACTGGATGATAATAATGACAACAGCTAAAATACACTGAACACTTACTATATATCAAGCCCTATAGTAAGCATTTACTGTGGATTAACATGCTGAAACCTTGCAACACTGCTATGAGGTGGGTACCACTATCATCCTCATTTTACAGATAATCCATGAGATCCTTTCAACTCCAAATTTCTATAATTATGTGACTTCAAGTTAAGTAATATGGTAGACTGCATTTTCCAGAGGTGGACACAATATTTCCTATCTTATATGCTTGCTCTCTCTATATATACACACACACATATATGTGTATATATGTATATAGTATATACACATATGTACATATATTATACACATATGTACATATAATTTACACATATGCATATATGTATATGCACACACATGTATATGCACACATATACATATATACACATATATACATATATAAGATACACATACATATATGCATATATACATATATAATATACACATATATACATAATACATAAATACATATATGTACATACACATATGTATACACATACATGCATATACACATACATGAATGTATATACACATACATGTATACATATATACAGACATATATACATATATACACATACATACATATATACACACATATACATATATAATATACACACATTACACACAATGTACACACATACATATATGTACACACATATGTACACACATGCATATATGCACACATACGTACACACATACATATATGTACACACATATGTACACACATACATATATGCACACATATACATATATGTATACACATACATATATGTATATACACGTATGTATATACACATACATATATGTATATACACGTATGTATATACACACATATATGTATATACACGTATGTATATACACACATATATACATATATATATTTTTTGGCTGGGCACAGTGGCTGACACCTGTAATCCCAATGCTTTGGGTGGCTGAGGTGGGAGGATCACTTGAGCCCAGGAAGTCGAGGCTGCAGTGAGCTATGATTGTGCCACTGCACTCCAGCCTGGGCGACAGAGTGAGAGCAGATCTCAATCAATCAATCAATCAATCAATAAAGTATTTTTAGAGATGGGATCTCGCTCTGTTGCTCAGGCTGGTCTCAAACTCCTGGGCTCAGGCAATCCTCTTACCTCAGCCTCCTGAGTAGCTGAAACTATAGGTGTGTGCCACTGCACCCAGTTCCTATGCTCTTCTTGAAGTATAACTTTGAGAAGTGGGTCTATCTACCCTCCATTGAATTTGGGTGGCCTTGTGGCTATGAAAAAAGTGATGTCATGTTAACTTCTGAGGCTAAGTCCATAAAAACCAATATAGCTTATGTTAGTTTTCTATTGCTATGCAACAAATTACCCAAAACTTAGTGGCTGAAAACAATACCTGTTTATTAGCTCATGGTTTTGTAGGTCAGAATTCTGGGCACAGCATGACTTGGTTCTCTGCTCAGGGTGTCACACAGCTGAAATGAAGGCGTTAGCTGGGCTGAGTTCCTGGAGGATCAGAGTTGAGGTGGGGACCCGCTTCCAAGCTCACTACATTGTTGGTTGAATTCAGTTCTTTATGGTCATAAGACTGAGATCTCTGTTTCTTTGGTCAGCTGGGAGCTGCGTGCATTTTTCGCCATGTAGTCACCTCCACCTTCAGAGCCGGCTATGGAGAATATCCTTCACGTCAAATCCCTCTCACGTTTTGAATCTCTGAATTCTGGTCTCTGACCTCTAGACCCAGATTTAAATGGTTGCTGTGGTTAGGGGAGGCTCACTTGGGGAATCTCTCTGTCTTAAGATCAACTGATTCAAAACCTCAATTACATCTGCCAAATCTCTTTTGTCATGTAATCATGTGAATAATATCTAATGCTATTCATAGGTTCCGCTGACACTCAAGTGCAGATTATACAAGGGTGAGGGTCACTGGGGCCATCTTAGAATTCTGCCTACGCGATAGCTTCTACTTGATTCTCTTGTTACGTTTACTCCTGGAACTCAGCCACCATACTGTGAGGAAGCCTAAGCACCCTGTGGAATGGTCCACATGGAAAGAAACTGGCCCCAGTTAACAGCCCCAGCTGAGCTCCCAGCCAGTAACCAGCATCAGCGTGCTATGTGAGTGAGCCATTTTCAAAGTGGATCCTCCAAGCCGCAGGCTGAAATATCCCCACTGGTGATGCATGGGACAGATGAGCTGTCCCTGTTAAGTCCTGCCCAAATGGTAAATTTGGGAGTAAAATAAAAGATTTTGTTCTAAGCCACTAAGTTTTGGGGTGATTTTTTATACAGCAATAGGTGATCAAAACCAAGTAACTTATGTGAGACAGTCTGTAAGTACTGAAAGCTTCTGTGGACAAGGAGCGGTAGCTTCTATTTCTTTTAAGACATTGGAGCATCTGGCAGTGTAGGCCTAAAATGTCATTCAACACATGCTTGCTGATTTATTAGTTCAAACTTATACTGACCTGATTTATAACAGTATACCATTCATCCATATTTGGAAGCTCCGCATTTTAAAATAGTTATCTAAAAATTATGCCACTTTCTTTTGGAGGAATGGCTATACTATATATTTTTAAGCCATATTTGTAAAATGTTTGGGGTGTAAATAAACACAGATAATGAATATTAATTTTAAAGGTACAATGGGCTTGTGTGTAAATCACTACATAAAGCATTAGTATTTCAATGCATATTCAATCGCTTTTCAACAGTTGCTGTTTTTATTTTTTTGTTGTTGTTATTTATTTATTAGACGGAATCTTGCTGTGTCTCCCAGGCTGGAGTGCAGTGGTGCAATCTCGGCTCACTGCAACCTCCGCCTCTGGGGTTCAAGCAATTCTTCTGCCTCAGCCTCCCGAGTAGCTGGGACTACAGGCACGTGCCATCACACCTGGCTAATTTTTATATTTTTAGTAGAGATGGGGTTTTACCATATTGGCCAGACTGGTCTTGAACTCCTGACCTCAGGTGATCCTCCCACCTCGGCCTCCCAAACTGCTGGGATTACAGGCATGAGCCACTGCACCTGGCCAACAGTTGCTGTTTTTATTGGAAAAAACAGAAAGCACTGGAAAAATAATCACCAGTTTTGTAATTAAAGATTTTTCATCCACAGATATCAAAACCATTAGGTGAAAAACTGTTGGAGAGGCCAGGAGCGGTGGCTCATGCCTATAATTCCAGCACTTTGGGAGGCCGAGGCAGGCAGATCACCTGAGGTCAGGAGTTCAAGACCAGCCTGGCCAACATGGCAAAACCCCATCTGTATGAAAAATACAAAAATTAGCTGGGAATAGTGGCACACACCTGTTATCCCAGCTACTGGGGAAGCTGAGGCAGGAGAATTGCTTGAACCTGGGAGGTGGAGGTTGCAGTGAGCCAAGATCGTGCCACTGCACTCCAGCCTGGGCAAAAGAGCAAGACTCTGTCTCAAAAAAAAAAAAAAAATTGTTGGAGAATAGAATATCCATACACTCTCAAGGCAGTTCCCCCCGGATTATTTGAAGGGAAAAGGTAACTTTACAATGGAGAAACCCAGCAGATAACTTCTTTTTTGGGGGGGGAATATATCCATTTTGTTAAATGCATCTTGTCTGAGCCATGGAAGATACAGAAACAATTTCAAAGAGCATTAAACACTGGTTCTCTCAACTGTGGACTGAAAAAACATAAAGCATATGGAGACGCTGAGTCTGATAGCTGTTCAAACAAGTGGGCCAGAGCTGGTTTCAATGGTGCCAAAAGTACAGGTACTCTACCTCCTGCCAAATGATCCTACCAAAAAAGATGCCAGAAGTACACAGAGAAGATGGTTAACAGACACTTGGAAGGTACAAATTCTCCATGATATGACATTTTCAACATACCAGTGGAACCCACATATGTAGGCTCCATTCTGTCTTGAACAATTCCAAAATATTAAAGAAAAACATCAGGAAGTAGGTAGATTACTTAGAGAAAAATTTGAGTTACTTTTAACCAAAGTTATTTCTACTATGCTTTATCACTCACTCAGTAGCTGCTCTCAAAACAAAGAAATATTTTATATATAATATGTATTTTACTAAAAGTATTTTTTACCCATCTCAAATGGGTTGATTGACCAGTCTCACTAATAGTAAGAGTGCTCAACATTTCCCATTTTGGGCCATTTCTATCACTCTCAAATTTTGGTGAATCTGCCCTAAGTTCCCAGCATCACAGCATTCGTGGATCTGAGTAAACATTCCAGAAAACACAGAGATGTTCCAATACTCTCTGTTCTTAATTTCATCTAATTAGTTTTAAAATTTATTCTCTACTCACAAAGAAGCATAAATAAAGGTTTCACTCTTATGTAAAGACCTGACAAAACATACTGATCCTCTGCTGATGTGGAAGCAAGGACAGTTTTCTACGATAGTCTGTTCTTTATAACCTATAACTGTTGTGGAAAAAAAAGAAAATCAATTTCTTATTGTAATTATTTTTCTTGTTTGAGGTTTCTTTTCCACACCCTGAATCTACAATGACCCAACCACAAGTTTGGGAACATTGCTTCTGAGGCCCATTCTCTGATTAGAAAGTTCAGTCCCACCTGGGGAAAGTACCCGAGTCCCATCCTTTTCAGCCTAACATTATGCCTAATATCTAGAGTAAGAAATCAGGCTAAGTGTGGTGGTGTGCGCCTGTAATCCCAGCCACTTGGGAGGCTGAGGCAGGAGAATCGCCTGAACCCCGGTGGCAGAGATTGCAGTGAGCAGAGATTGCACCAGTCACTCCAGCCTGGGCAACACAGCGAGACTCCACCTCAAAAAATAAATAAATAAATAAAATAAAACATCCAAGTATCCACCTTGGGTTGCAGGAAAATAGTTAATATTATGCGTTTTAAAAAATGTAACTATATAATGTGAAACACCATAAAGTCAGATGGCACTGCACGAGGCATTTTTGCTTCTTTTTCTTAGGGAAAAGGAGTTCTGTGGAAAATTCTCTCATCCTCCTCTCTCCGCCACCGACTCCTCTATGTCCAAAGGTTTTTTCCTCCCTCCACCCCCCGCGAGAGAGAGTCTCACTCTGTTGCCCAGGCTGGAGTGCAGTGGTGCAATCTCGGTTCACTGCAACCTCTGCCCCCTCTGCATTCAAGCGATTCTCCTCCCTCAGCCTCCCGAGTAGCAGGGATTACAGGCACGCACCACCACACCCGGCTAATTTTGTATTTTTAGTAGAGACAGGGTTTCTCCATGTTGGTCAGGCTGGTCTCAAACTCCCAACCTCAGGTGATCCGCCCACCTCAGCCTCCCAAAGTGCTGGAATTACAGGCGTGAGCCATCGCATCCGACCTAGGTTTTTGTTCAAAATTGGGCCTTTGTTCTTATTCAGTAAATCTATGTCACAGGATGAGCCAGGACTTAAATATATAAATATAATTTTTTAGTATCTTTCACGTCAAATTAGAAACACATATTTGGAACTTACTGCTGCAGTCTCTACTGTGCTTATCATGGTAGTGGTTGAAACTGGAAGACTTTTTTTTTTAAACCCTGAAGTCATCCATACTTGCTACTTATTTAGTCTTCTTGCTTGGAATGAAAAGTATTCACCAATACCACCAGCTAAGCATCTGTTTCAAATGCAACTCAGCCTTCAGCTTGCAAAATTATCTCTTTATAATTAAGCAAACAGCGGAAGACCCATGCGAGTTGTTTCTTTCTTCCTGGAGAAGTTGGCAGGATAACTGGAATCCTAGGAGCTCCTCTGTATTGAATTTGCCAAGTCCTGAGTTCAGAATTTTGTTTCTGAGATGAATATAAAGGCACCTAATGGTCAAGGAAACTTTTCTTCCTGTGATAAGGAACCTTTGCTTTAGTGTAGATGACCACTCCCCTCTGTAAGGTAGGGAGGAAGAATGTTCGGTTAGTTCCTTTCCTCTGGCCGATCTCTTTTTTTCTTCTCCTCGCACTGTACAACAGACGCACTCAGCCTCCCGGGGTCCCGGCCCAGAGGCCAGTTAATAGCTGCACGCCTCACTCCGCCATCTTCGCAGCTTCTCCGCGGATAACTTCTTAACCAAGTGGCCGAACTTAGTACCACCAATGCTGGAAGAAAGTGACGTCATGTGCCTCGCATTGTGATGCACTAAGAATACAACATCTCTTGTGAAGTTGTTTTATCAAAAAATGTTTAACCTAAATCTAGTAAGAAAACAGACAAATCCAACTTAAAGACATTCTGAAAAGCGACAAGCTTGGACTCCAAAAATGTCCATGTCATGAAACACAAAAAGCCAGGGAACTCTTCTAGATTAAATATTAATCAAAGGAGTCAACTAAACTTGAATTTTGATTGAATCCTGATTTCCCCCTCCAACAAGAAGGAAAAAAAAAAAAGCCGTAAAGCTATAAAATTTAAATATGCTCTGCATATTATAGTGTGGATTACTGCGTTGTGGTTAAGTAGGGGTCCATCCTTGTTTTTAAGAGACAGATGCTAAAATCTTAAGGTGAAATGTCACCGTGTCTGCAAGTAACACTCAGGCAAATTATGTAAGGGCTAAAATTCTGAACCTGGTTGAGGAATTTTGTATCAACATCTAGTCAACACTGTCCAGGGACTAGTCAGAACAAGTAGTTTCCCTTCGCATGGCTGAGAAGCAGGTAGCCTGACCCACTCCTCTCCGGGTGGCACGAGTAACCCTCAGCACTTAAAAGCGGCTGCAGCCCTGTGGGGAACGAAGGCTGAGGCTGTGGTTCCACTTCTGCCAGAGGACACACACATGCACGCATGCTGTATGCACTTTATGGCAGTCCATGGAAGGCACAAAAGTGCAAGGGTGAGGCTGCGCCCCTCCCCTAACCTCCACAGGAACATATGACAGTAGCACAGGCTGTCTAGAGCACTTTACAGTAGTCACGTCCGCCCAAGGGTGAAACCACACCCTTTCACCCCCACAGAACAGCGGCAGGTGCTGTCTGGAGCACTTTAGGGCAGTCAGGCAAACATGCGAGGATGAGGCCAGGCCCCTTCACCCTGGCAGAACCGCTGCACGTGCTTGTGGAGCACTTTACAGCAGTCATGCAGAGGCGTGAGGGCAAAGCTACGCCCTTTCATCCCCACAGAACAGCGGCATGTAGTCTGGAGCACTTTACAGCAGTTACTTGAAGGTGCGACGGCAAAGCCACGGCCTTGCACCCCCGTAGAACAGGAGCACGTGCTGTCCGCGGCACTTTAACGGCATTCAGGCAGAGGCGCGTGGGTGAGGCCACTCCCTTTCGCCCCAACAGAACAGCGGCACGTGCGGTCCGGCGCACTTTACGGCAGTCAACGCGAAGGCGCCAGGGTGAAACCATGCCCTTTCATTCCGACAGAACAGCTGCACGTGCTGTCGGCGCACTTTATGGCAGCCACGCGAAGGCTCGAGGTTGCTAGCGTGCGCCCAGTCAGGGTTGGCTGCGGATACTGGGCTTTGCGCTCTATTTCGTTGTGGTCTGGCTGTCGGTCCGTAGGCACACCTACGGCTATTCCATCATGGCGAGGGTAGCGGTACCGTGGTGAACGATGAGAGATCACTTTCAGAGCAAGGAGTTCCGGGGATACGTGAGCAGCACTCACTTCTGGGGTCCCGTGTTCGACTGGGGCCTTCCGCTGGCTGCCTTTAAAGACATGAAGGCAGGCCGGGCGCAGTGGCTCACGCCTGTAATCCCAGCACTTTGGGAGGCCGAGGCGGGTGGATCACCTGAGGTCGGGAGTTGGAGACCAGCCTGACCAACATGGAGAAACCCCGTCTCTACTAAAAATAAAAAATTAGCTGGGCCTGGTGGCACATGCCTATAATCGCAACTACTAGGGAGGCTGAGGCAGAATTGCTTGAACCTGGGAGGCAGAGGTTGCGGTGAGCCGAGATCGTGCCATTGCACTCCAGCCTGGGCGACAAGAGTGAAACTCCGCCTCAAAAAAAAAAAAAATAAATAAATAAAATAAAATAAAAATAAAGACATGAAGGCGTCGCTGGAGATCATCAGTGGCCGCATGACGACAGCGTTCATCTTGTACTCGGCGATCTTCATGCGCTTCGCCTACCGCGTACAGCCTCGAAACCTGCTGCTGATGACGTGCCACTGTACCAACGTGATGGCACAGAGTGTGCAGGCCAGTCGCTACCTACTCTACCACGGCGGCGGCGCCGAGGCTAAAGCCCGCGACACTCCGCCGTCGCGGCCGCCACCAGCCCGGGTTCCCAGCCCCCGAAACAAGCTTCTTAAGAACTGAGAGGGCCTGATCTCATCTCTGCAGGTCACAAGCACTGAACTGTCATTCCTCCTGAAAAAAGGCCAATGAAGACCTCGGTTTTGACTCTAAAACAGTGCGAATCTGACTTAAACCTGCAGTTTGATTAATAAAGAAATACAAAGTAACATTGAACTGAAGTTGAGTGTTGCCTCTTTTGTAAACTGGAAATGTTTTTTAGAAGGGGAGGATGGATTAGCTGGTCTTTCTCTTCACAGGACCTGCAACTCAAGATAGTTTAATATGGGGGAGGAAGACTTTGAATGTAAAGCACTTCACAGCTTTTTTGTTTTTTCTTAAAGCTCTCTTGGGAACATATTTTTGTTACTTGTTTTGGATGTCCAGGGCAAACAGGGTTGCTTAGTATCACACATGACTCACAACTTGGTGCAGTCACAAATCTGTACGTCAAAAAACGTCTGGGGGCTCTTTCTACTGAGGGAAATGTTTCGAAGTGGGTTTTAAATGAATGTCGTGAGGTACAGTGTAGCCTTAACGAGTCCTCAAGAGAACCTAGGATCTCTTGGTGACGGAGAGCAATTATAGAATTAGCCATGGAGACAGGATAAACAATTCTGGGGACAATTGCCATCAACCCTGGGATTCTAGGTAAATAGGTAAAAGGACAAAATCATTCTTTCCTCCTTTTCTTATCCTTAAAAACGGGGGAAATGGCAGTTTGCAGAACTGGTTACCTATCACTCTGTCGAATGCTAGCTAGAGCTGGGGGTGAGGGGTCAGTGGTCAACAGCGGCAGCTCGGAGTATTCCCCTAGGAATCTTGGGGGGTTCCTACCGACTCTTAAATCACAGAGCCGAGAAAAGGGAAACGAGAAGGGTGGGGTAGTGGGGCAGTAGGCTAAGGCGATTACCTACATAGGAGAGGCTGCCCTCTACGATTTGACCCCAAAATTTTCCCTGCCCCTGCCTCTGAAGGATGCGGAAAGTTCCAGAGTGTTTACTGGTGAACCCCAAAGTAGGTGTTCAGAAGTATTCGACCCTGCTTTAGATAGAGTTTTCAAATGCAAAGAAATTTAAAAGCACTATCAAAGATTCTGAAGACATCAGTTCTTGGACAAAACGGGCACATTTGTGGAATTCTAGAAGATTCCCCTTTATCTTCTCTGGCATTAAAGCAGTAGTCCTCTTTGTGGGCAGTCTCTATGTTTCACGAAATTCTGCATGTGGGGACGGGGTGGGGGGTGGGTGGGAAACGAACTATGGGGAAGTAGTGAATTATCTATGGCCATGTAATCACCCCCAACACTTAGTTTAAAACAGTTACCTGACTTAATTTCTGAAGTTCAGGAATCTGGGAGTGATTTAGTGGGGGACTTCTGGCTCAGGGATTCTCAGCTGTCAGCTGGGGCTGCAGTCTCTGAAGATTTGACTGGAGCTGGAAGATCCACTTCCAAGCTCATTCATAGTTGTTTGCAGGAGGCTTCAGTTCCTTGTCATCTGGGCCTCGCCATACGGCTGCTTGTGACATGGCTTCCCCCAGAGTGGTGTTCCAAGAGACAGCCCAAGATGGAAGTTCTAGCCTTTTACAGCTTCATCTTAGAAGTTACATACCATCACTTCTGCTGTGTTCACACAAAACAACTCTGGTACACTGTGGGAGGACAATACGAGGATGGGAAGCAGGCATTGTTAGGGGCCATCCTGGATGCTGGCTACCACATGTGGTGCTAAAATAATTTTCATGCCTTTCTGGTAGTCAGTAGGAAAGTAAAGCATGTAAATTTGTTGCCTACCTTCCCAAAGAGAGGTCACAAAATGCTCAGTTTACTGTTTTGTGGTCATTGCTAACATGCACATATAGAGCATGGGTTTGAGAAGCAGAAATCTCTGGAAGATAACAGTGGGTCTTAATGTTTTAGATAATTCAGACTACAATGCAGTATTAAAAACCAGTTCTTAAAGTTATGAAATGAGTAACTTTATATCCACTTCACTAACAATTTCATAAGTAGAAATTAATATATTTTTAGGTTGTCTTACAATATGCATTTTGTAATTTGAGTCTATTTCAATGAAAGGCCACTGTCTGTTGAAGACATTTCAGAGCAGGTAGGTTTCTAATTAACCTCGTGAGGGAAAAGGAGGTAATCTCTGCTGCTAATTTCCTATTACTCTATACTTACAATTTAGAGGTCAAAACAAGGAAATGTCCAAAAGATTGCAACACCTCCACAATAATGCAATGTTCCGCTTAGGGCATCTAATTCACAATATGCCCACCCAACTAAGTGAGCTAACCCTTTGTTGCCTAGGATATTAGTGTTTAAAGCCAAATAGGTAATTCATACTTTAATAAAAATGAACCTTTTAAATCATTAGGGTAACAATCATTTCATAATCTTCCCAAACTCTCAAACGTAATCCTTTCTAACCTTGGCAATTTAAACTGTCTACAGATCTCCACAACTTTATAAAGCCAGTAACATTTTTTGAATTGGCAGAGCTAGTTTTCCAGTTTTTGTCACCAACGCACTTTAGTCATTTCCCAGAATCAGGTGTTTTACTCTGAGTTGAATATGTAATGTCTTCCTCCTTAGGTACTCTGAGCTCCCTGGTGAAGAACAGGATAAATCCAAAGAACTGCTTTATCTTTGCAACTATAATGCTAATACCATTTTTTTCCTCTAATTCTTTCAAAACTATGAACCACATATTGTGTCCCAGGGAGAGGCTGACAACAAATCATATTGCTGGACGAAGAAGACAAGGCGGTTCACAATGAAACAGACAGCCCTATGCAGAAAGTGATCCATGTGCTGGGCTTCTTCCCACTGCCCTGACAATTTGCAGGTGACCCTGGAGGTGGAGCTACAAAATGGAGGAATGGAGGCTACAACATAGCCCAGGAAATGCGACACAGCCAGCTTGCAGTTTGAATTTATATTTTATTATTCTGAAATATAAAATTTTAAAAACATTCAAAATACACCAGTACATGTTTGTTATAAAAATTTCACCCAGGAGGATATAAAACAGAAAAACCAAATATTCCTTCTAACTCTCCCCTCTACCTCAATTTCCTACAGAGGTAACACAGTGGAAAAAACTGGGGAAAAGCAAACAACTTTCCAGACCTCTACTATTCTAAAACACAAACAACATTATAGCTTGCTATGCATTGTTTTCTTGTGTTTGTTTTTTTGGTTGTTTTTTAGAGACGGAGTCTCCCTCTGTCACCCAGGCTGGAGTGCAGTGGTGTGATCTCGGCTCACTGCAACCTCCACCTCCCCAGTTCAAGCGATTCTCCTGCCTCAGCCTGCGGAGTAGCTGGGATTACAGGCACGTGCCACCATGCCCGGCTTTTTTGTGTTTTTAGTAGAGACAGGGTTTCACCATGTTGGCCAGGTTGGTCTCAAACTCTTGACCTCAGGTGATCTGCCCCACTCAGCCTCCCAAAGTGCTAGGATTACAGGCGTGAGGCACCGCGCGCGACTGCTATGCATTGTTAAGCCTTTTGCTTTTCTAGTTAGTATGTCTGAGACCACTGCACGACCACAGTGCGGCGTCGCTTCATTCTTTCCAACAGTTGCATAAGATCCTGTAGTATAATGCGCTACACTTTAACAGTGCTGCTGTACACATCCTGTTGTGCACACCCTTGTGCCCAGGTGCACAGTTCCGTTAAATAGAAAGATATCAACAGGTTGATGTCTCTATATATGATGCTACATTGCCTTAAAGTCCTCTCTGGGGCTTTAAAAAGTTTTCGGAACCGTATCTTTATCAGAGCGGACAAATCCAGTAAGATGACAGCTCGTATACCATCATCCATACCTTACACATCCTTGTATTTATATCTACTTCAGGGGCTGGCACATGGTGGACCCTTGATAAAAGCTTGTGGGCAAACTAACTAGACACAGGTATAAAATGGAAGCGTTCATAACCCAAAGTTCCTAAAATTAGAAGTCAGATCTTAAATTGGTTAATGAATCAAGATTCCATTTGATCCCAAGTTTTGTATTGCACATCTAGAAGCTCGGAAATATTTCGCTAAGTTTCTTATTTGGAAGAGTTGTGAGATGAATGAAATTTCTTTCTTTACTGTTGAAGTTTTCTCAAGGAATTCCATGAAATGAAGGGAGAAAGAAAATGTAAGACTAAAGATTAAATACTACCTGGACAGATTAGAGGAGGAAGTTACAGGCACATCTGCACTCATTTGGGCTTTCCAGAGTGATATTAAGTGCATTTTAACATAAAAATGTACACCAAATAAACCCCTGCCCTCCACCCATTCTACAGATGACATCCTTGGTAGGCGGCTGGATAGGCACACATCTTCACTGGGCTTGGAATGGAGCCCTTCCTGCAGGCAGCGAGGAACATGGCAATTCTGTTCCTGAAGGTCCACAGGCAACTTGACCCAGTTAAGTACCGCTGGCCTTGGAAACAAGTAGATGCGGGGAAAGGTGAAAGTGAGGCCGACTCCGCAGACCACTGCCTACGATGGGGCAGTCATTGCGCAGTTTGGGAAACCAGCAGGAGGAAGTCAGGAGTGGATGACTTTAGGGGTAAAAGGTATAGAAAAAGCATGAACGAATGTGTGAATTTGTTGAAAGAAAATGTTTGTCTTTGAATTTCCACAAGAATGATACAATTTCATTTTTAAATTTTGTAATGAAGGACCAGGCTTAGTTAATAGCATAACTAACATTTAGGCCTGGGAATACTCCCAAGCTAAGAGGGGCCCTTCACTCAAATGTTCACTGAGCATGTGAGGCCAGGCCCCAGGAGCTTACTTTTCAAATGTGTACCATAAACCAGCTGCCAAGCGAGAAGCTCCCCTGCTCCTGCCTGACATCCCTGCTTGTGATGCTGGCCTGGGTCCTGTCAGTCCACTGGTCACTCGAGTCACCATTCTCCAGCTCCCCACAGACCAGCCTGGGCCCACCTCCTTGCCCTACTGCCTTAGGCTACTCCAACCTAGTAGTAACAGTTTTTTGGGGTTTTTTTGAGACAGGGTCTTGTTCTGTTACCCAGGCTGGAGTGCAGTGGCATGATCATAGCTCACCACAGCCTTGACCACCTGGGCTCAAGGGATCCTCCCACCTCAGCCACCTGAGTAGCTGAGACTAAAGGTGTGTGCCACCATGCCCAGGTAATTTTTAACTTTTTTGTAGAGATGGGGTCTCGCCAACTTGCCCAGGTTGGTATTAAACTCCTGGGCTCAAGTGATCCGCCCACCAACGCTGGGATTACAGGCGTGAGCCACTGTACCCAGAGGCAGTAACATTTCTGTACTAATTGGAAACGACTAGAAAAATCGCCTTTCAGGCAATGTTTCTTCTTGCTTTCCTCTAAAAAGGAAATATTTCTTTCCTATCCCAGCATTTATATCCCAGCCCAGCCTTGGGCATCCTGGGTGAATAGGAATAGGACTTGCCTGCTAGTGGGTGGAGCACTCCAGGTAAGCCTCTGGCACAGGCCTGGCCACACACAGCCTTTACTAAGTTAAGCAGTTACAGTTTAGGACCAGAAAAGAAATTCACCTTTTAAATAGCAAAAAAATCCCTGGATGGTAGTAAGTTTTGTTGCTGTTTTTTGTTTTTTTGGGAGACAGAATCTCGCTCTATTGCCCAGGCTGGAGTACAGTGGCATGGTCTCAGCTCACTGCAACCTCTGCCTCCCAGGTTCAAGCGATTCTCCTGCCTCAGCCTCCCGAGTAGCTGGGATTATAGGCACATGTCACCATGCCCGGCTAATTTTTGTATTTTTTTTTTCAGTAGAGATGGGGTTTCACTATGTTGGCCAGGCTGGTCTCGAACTCCTTGCCTCAGGTGATCCACCCGCCTGGGCCTCCCAAAGTGCTGGGGATTACAGGTGTGAGCCATCACGCCTGGCCTGGTATCAAGTTTTGGCAAAGAGTATCTAATTTTTTTTATTGCAATAGATTATACAACCCCAAGTTTACAAATATTAAAATAGTTCCAAAGAGAGGAAAGTCCAGGACAAAACAACAAAAATTCCTTTTTGTCTGGGTACAATAGTCTGGTAACTTTTTCCTTTTGCACAGAAAAGGATGTCTGAGACGGAAGCCATGCTGACTTTCACAGAACATGCCTGATTTTTGTTGACAGGCAACCTAAAATGAAAGAGAATGTTTGATTTGATTTTTTGATTTTTTTTTAATTTGAGGGGAAAAAAGTAAAATGCTGAAGATAGTTACTCATTTTAAGAAGTTCTCCTTATGGAAACTAATCAATTGCTATTAATGCCATGGTAAGAGCCAGGCATCAATGGTGTCATTTTAAGGCAGAAATGCTTTTTGATTATGTTATAAAGCTGATTCATTTAATTCTAGACCAATGACTTCAGGTATATTTGGCTAAACAGGGAGTTGATGTTGAATTACTTCACAGACTTAAGAACCGTTAAGTAGAGAACGAACACAAACCTCAGTGTCCTCTCTTTGAAACAATAAGGACAAACTTCAGATTAGACTGTTGTGTGTTCATGATGGCCTCACATGAGAGAACAGACATGAAAGAGATGGGGCGATTCTGTCCTTCTTTAACACCATCATCTGCCTGAACTCACCTCAGGCCTTCCTGTCAGGTGTCTGTCTCCCAGGTTCCTGTGAATCCAGTTTCTGATGTAGACGGAGGCTGTCTAGCTTCTGCATATCTTCTGTAAGGCCATTTCTAAGATCCTCATTGTTTCTCAGAAATTCCTTCACCACTTCTAGTCGATTTGAGAGCTGCAAGAGGAAACCATGCAATGTACAGCTTAGACGATTTTATAGCAGATTTGTAATTCAAATGAAAAACCCACTAGCTCCCAGACTGGCTCCTACTCATATGCCCAAGAGACAGAAATCTTGGCTACAGGTATCTGTCCACAGACAGGTTAAAGTTTGAAAAACAAAAACAAAACAAACCCTTTAAAACAAAGCATCCTCCACTCAAAAAATAGTGGCCCAGGATAAGTGGTTCTGGGGGTACACAAGGGAGTATTTGCTTGTCTCCTTCCATTTTTTTGCTTTAAAACTTTCTGTCTTTACATGAAAGGGCATCATTTTATACATACACACACGTGTATGTGTATAAATAAATAAAATGACCTTTTCTTTTGAATTCTGTACCTGAATTATTATACATATGGATATATACATATATACGTGTGTGTGTATGTATATGTGTGTGTGTGTGTGTGTGTGTGTGTATTTTTTTTTGAGACAGTATCTCACTCTGTCGCCCAGGCTGGAGTGCAATGGTGCGATCTTGCTCCCTGCAACCTCCGCCTCCTGGGATCAAGTGATTCTCTTGCCTCAGCCTCCTAACTGGGATTACAGGAGCCTGCTACCACACCCGGCTAATTTTTGTTTTTAGTAGAGACGGTGTTTCGCCATGTTGGCCAGGCTGGTCTCAAACTCCTGACCTCAGGTGATTTGCCCACTTCGGCCTCCCAAAGTGCTGGGATTACAGGCATGAGCCACGATGCCCAGCGATGAATGCTTTTAAATGGGGAACCCTCAACTGCAAGTCAAGTCAGGATTATATAAATCTAATGAAGAAAAGTAACGGAGCACTCTGCCCTAAGAGAGCAGTAGTTCTTAAACTGCAGAGTGTATGTCACTGATTCCCATGCAGTAGGTCTGGTGTGGAACCCCAGCAAATACTCACGTTATTGTGAAGTAAGCAAATGAAAGAGCCAGATGCCAGATGATGGACGCTGGGGATGGGAGGGAGGTGAATGACTGGCTAAGGCTGTGGCCAGGACGCACAGGGAGTGGGGAGGGACAGGGAGGAGCTGCAGATGATCAGAGGGTTTCAGATTGGTCAGTAAGTAGACCGGGAATGTGCCCTTCAGGAGCTGGTTAATACACAGCTGGAAACTAGCCTAGAGCTCCTGCAAGATGCTTGGGCTTTAAATAATAAATCTGAAAGCCATAGACATGTGAAATGAAGATCACACGGATGACATGGTTCACAGCATGCGTTAGGAACTGTGGGCACTGCATCGTTAGCTCTCAGTGACCGTGCCCGGTGCCCTAGACACACCCCAGGGTCCTCCTGAGGCTCTGATCAGATGTCCGTGATGGCACCAGCAGGGCCTGGGCACCACACGCATACTCCCAGATAGACTTTTGCCCTCAGTGGGGTGCCCCTCCACTTGTGCGGAGACTTTCTCACATGATAACCTGGGAACGGTGGTCCTTCTGCTGCCACCTCCTGACCCCCCCTGCAGACTCTCAGGACTGATGTGCTCTGTTCTACTTAGTTTCTTTTCTTTTGTTCAAGGTTTCAGTTCACTTTTCCATCCCAAATTGCCTTTCTTTTCCATTATCTTCAACATGAGTGTCCCATAGCTGACATTTCTTGGACTTGTTTTCTCCTTTGTGAAATGCAACAAATGCATTTACTCTTGAAATGTGCTTAAGAGGTGTTCTGGATGGGGTGATTATTTTAGCTTGGGGTTGGCAGGATGAATCAAAAGGAGGCTTAAAAAAAAGTATTAAGAACAGAGAAGGCTTTGTATGTTTATATGTAAAGGGGGAGGAGAAAGTAGAGATGGAAAAACTGAAAGTACTAGAAAAATTTGGAATGTAGAATATTCAGACTTGGACACTGAAGCCCAGCTTTGTCACTTAATTAGCTGTGTGACTTTGGCCAAGACATTTGACCTCTCTGAGCTTACTTCTAGGTACACAAATTAAGGATGATGATACCAACACCACCTAGGATTCTGGTGAGGATCAGAAATAAACTACTAAAAGCACTTAGCAGCTTTGGTCCATTCCCTCCTCCCTAACTACATTCATTTAATAAATGTCCAATTTACTCACAGTCTACTACGTGCTGGTCTACTGTTGGAGGCAAAAGACGCTCGGCAACTTCACTCTTCCAGTCACCTAAGCCAAAACTCTTGGCCTTGCTTTGATCTCTTTCTTTCTCTCACATGCCACACTGGCACACCTTCACATCACCTCTACACTTCTACCCTCAGCCTGGCTACCACCATCCTTTACCTGGTCCACTGCAGTAGCCTCCTACCAGTCGCCCTGCTTCTATCTTGGCCCCTCCCCTCCAGTACCCCAGGGTACCCTCACCACTGCAGCCAGGGGCTCCTTTTGTCATCCCAATGGCTCACAAGGCCCAGTAGGACCTGCTTCTGCTCCCTTCACTTCTCTGACCTCTTCACCCACTATTCTTTCAAATCCTCTTCCCCCAGATACACGCATGGTTAATCCTCACCTCCTTCAAGGTACTGCTAAGTCTCACCTTCTCAAAGAGGCCACCCTAATTACTCTACTGCAACCTGACATTCGTCCCCACTCTGCCAATCCTGATCACCCTCCCTCTGCTCTACACTGGATTTCTCCTTCTACTGCCCCACATCATGACCTTATTATGTTTACTGTTTAGTATCTGTCTCCCACTCTGGAGATCTTTGTCTGTTTCACTCACTGATGCATACCAAGCTTCTAGAACTGTGCCTGGCACACAGTAGGTGCTCAATAAAAATTTCTTGAATATAACGAATGAAGTGCCATTTTCTATCCTTTCCCCAGTGACCTTGAGTACACGCTGTCATCGTCCCTTATCCCTAAGCTTCCCTGCAGGTCTCTGTGAAGGTGGCTCCCTCACCAGGGTTTAAGAAATCAGTCTTGATTTTAAAGTCTGTGAAAATTATTTTCATGTTTTTTAGCCACTAACTGTGCTCAATGTACTTTAGTTGGATTTTTTTTTTTTTAACTCCCAGATCCTAACAGAGCAATGAGGGCTGGCAGGACTATGTGAAGGGCACTTAGGTGGCAGCCGAATTCTGGGGCAGATGAGCCCATGGCCGACACAAACTCCATGTTACAAGGGGCTGAGCAGCTGCTACTGCCATTTGGCTCCGCAGCAGAGTAAAATCTCACAATCACAGCAATACATGCACAGTGTATTTTAACGTGAGCCCACTTTTTCTACTGTTCTATACCTTTAAGGTTCACCAAACTAATAGAAAACTGTGGAGATGGTGAGCTCTCTGTGGCACTCCATGATGTGTTTGCAGGAGGTGTCACACTGAATTACTACCATCAATCATTTTTCTCAACTTAGCTTTCTAACCCTACCCCTACTTCTTTTGGTTTGTTTCTTAGTTTGTTTCAAGAGATGGGGTCTCCCTATGTTGCCCAGGCTGGTCCCAAACTCCTGGGCTCAAGTGATCCTTTCACCTTGGCCTCCAAAAGTGCTGGGATTATAGGTCAGAGCCATCGCACCTCGCCTTTACCCCTACTGTTTTAACAAAAACAAGAAATAGTTCTTGATAACATTTATAACAAAAGCCCTGGGGTCATAATATAATCACTGTATTTCCTGATCCCAGGATGCACATTTTTTCCTATTCTAACATCTCAAATGAGAATGCATCTTACCATTGATAGTGTCTTATAATAAACTGGCAGCATTGTTTTTTCTTTCTTAGAAGTAACTGAAATAATGATATTTTACAATTGACAGCATTTTAGATTCATTGAAATCTGGTCTTAACAAATCCTCTGACTTTGGCAACTAACCCGAAAGAACATGGATAATCATATAGGGTACTGAACTTTCAGAAGTCGTCAAATTTCATATACACAGAAACCTGACTTCCAACTTTTTTGAGATAACATGCCAATCAATCCTCACATTTTGATCAATTGAAATATTATGAGAAATGCCAAGGTCTGCTGAAGAGAAAGCATGAAAAATGAGAATTTATTAACTCCACCTAGAGACTCCACCCAGAGAACAAGCCAATTAATCCCTATTTCCTTTCTGTAAAACAGAGATAATGGGGGTTCAAAACTTACAGCTGCCAGCTCCTCAGTATATAAGATCTGCAGCACAGCAGGCAGGAAGCCACAGGATCAGAAGGGGGAGACCTGCGGGCCAGCCCTCAGCCCCAGTGCAAGCTCTTTGGGGCCCTTGCCTCACATGCAAAGCAGGGGATATAAGATGACTGCCAGGTTCCCTTCCAGCTCTCAACTGACACAAACTCCTGGCTCTAGCTTCTGAAAACAGCAGCAGAAAGAAAACTGGGGCTCTAATGGCATTATAAAATAAAGACAGGAACCGAAACACACGGATTTAGGAAAGAGAAGATTAAACATTCTAATACATCATTTTAAATACCTATGGTGTACCATGGTAGGCACACCCAAAAAACCAGGGGTACCAAGTCCTTGTGCTAAAGGGGCTCACCATGCTGAATGAAGCACCTGGATCAAAGCTGGAATGGTTAATACAGGCACAGTTACCTGCAAGGAGCATGGTTCTGTGAATTTGCATTTAATAAACCCTCCCTATGTTTAATGAGGTAACCAGCAAAACTACTTTCCTTGGACAAGGAGGAATGGAGAGGTGAAATGATTTTTCCAAGATCTCCTGGTGATCTAGAAGTCTAATCCAGCCAGTGCTGGAATATTTCTGAACCTTGCTGGAATACAATTCAACTACTGTTAATTTATTTTATACCTTGCATGTGACAAAGGAGATTTGTTCCTCCTGTACCTGGGAGTTTAGACCATCATTAGCCTGCAGGTCCTAAACTAGAAACATTGATGATTCTTTAAACACTCCCCTCCCTACCTTCTCCACCCTTTTCCAGCCCCATGCCATGCTCCAAGTAATCTCCCTGGCCACCAAGATCCATCAGTTCTGCCCAGGCACTGCCTCCAGAATCCAGTTCCTCCACAGCCCCTAGTTTCTGTTCTCTCTCACCTTCACACGACTGCAAGAGCCTTCTGGGTAGTTGCTAGCCACTCATCCAACCTCCAGCTACCACAAGAGTTAACTTTCTAAAAGCTGTATCTGATCCTATTACCCTTTCTTGACTGCTTTTTGGGAATGAAGCCAAAACCCTGTGGCATGGCCTAGAAAACCTTTTGGCATGTGGCTCCAGCCCACTTTACCATCCTCAAACCTGGCCATGGCTCCTGTGCTCACCTGTCCTTGCCCAGGCTTAGACTATCCTTCCCTGCTTTTGCAAGTACTGTGCTCTCTGTCAAGAATCATCTTTTTCTCTTGCCAATTTGTCAGACTCTTATTTGATTCTGTGAGTCACAGCTCAACAGCATCTTCTTAGCAAAATCTTTTTTTTTGGCAATCCCCCTGACCAGCAGAGAACGTCTGGAGCATTTTTTTCAGAATTCTATTGTAGCCCTTACCAGATTTTTCCACTTTGTGGCACAGATTAGGCACTCAAATGTTTGCTGATGTGAAAGTGAAAATATTTGTTAAGAGGTAATATTAATTTGTGCCAAAAGCATATTCACACTTCTGGAAATTATTTGACTTATAAATCAAAACCACCATTAATTATTTGTTAAGATGAGCTACTCTTCCTCCCCAGAATCTTTCTTTGTGTTGTTTACTCACACGGAGCCTATAACACTTTTCTTTTACCTCTTCAGGCAACACCTCTTGTTCTTCTGCTTGAAGATATATCTCTTGAAGTTTCTCCTTTAGTAACTGCATTTCTATTTCATTGACTTGGCTCTCACTCAGGTAAGTTCCCGTTTCACATTCACACCCATCTCGCTGATCTTCCTCAGGGATGTGAACAGCCCAGTCAGATGTCAACAGCTGAGGGATTGCCACACAAATATATGAACTGATTTCATGAAAAGCGCATTCCACTGAATTACTCAAATAATTTGTAATTAAACATAATGAACTGGATCCATATTAATAGTGCACCGTGATCACAGAAAAGTTTCTCAGCCCAGTATAATTGCAGATTTCATATCAGCATTCTTTCCCCTGCTTACATTCTAACATTTAGGTTAAATCTAATAAACTTCAAATTCTAAATGTGTGGCTGTTGTTGTTTTCTGTCCCTTCATTCTGTATGCCAGAACTATTAAACATGATTTTTACCTGTTCTATTCTGGAGTATACTGCCACAATCTCTGGGATGTTCCTGAATTCATTCAGAAAATTTTGGATCTTCATCTGAAAATCTCGAAGCCACGTAGAAGATACTTTCATCTCTGAAGAGTGCATGATCTCATTACGACATTTAATTACCTGCAGAAAGACAAAAAGATAAAAGGCTTCAAAATCAAACAATGGGGTAAACTGAGATCTTTGACCCCAAAGAAAAATCATAGAAAGGCTTTGTTAATTACAAATTAACAAAAGCAGTCGTCAGAAGAGAAGGCCTGGAACTTTCTTGGGATCATGGGCATAAGCTGGCATGTACCTGTATCAGAGTGGAGGACACTTCAGACCTCCAGCCCCGTAAGTCAGATCCATATTTAGTTCCATCCTGTCTAGAGGGCAGACACCAAGAAGTGAAGTTCTCCTTCTGTCTTCAAGGGTCAGGCAGGTAGCCTGAGGGAAGCTGGCCATGTGTAATGGTAAGGAGTCATCTCCCTACTAAAAGACTGGTTCAGAGCTAACTGGACAGCAGAGGCCCTATCTGAAGGGGCAGCCTCTACTTAACATGCGGCTTGTTGCCATGGGAGTTGTATGAGCCTATGTTCCCAGATCTTCTGATTTTTCATGAGAAACTGGAAATTTAGATTTTTATGACAACTAATTTGAAATTTTAAAAAATCATGCAGGGCACATAAGACATGACAGTAAGTCAGATTATGGCCACAGGATTCTAGGAATAAAAAGATGGCTCCTGGGTAACAGTTCAGCCTTTTCTCCCTGCTTGAGTCTCTGGAGCTGATTTCCAAGCAATCCCGAAATTCCTAACATAACCTGTAGGTACCTGTTGGTGCCGCTGAGGCTTGAGGGATTGTTCAATCCCCAGTCACACAAATAAACATTAGTGAGTGTAAGAAATACAAATAAGCCTACAACTATCCTTAGCCCTTGAAGTCTTGTGGCCAGCTGGATATTCCACATTCCCCCAAAATCCCTTAACTTAAAACAACCTGCCAAAGAACAAGCTCATTGGCTCTGGGTATACCCACAGGATGAAGCAGCCAACACAAAAGTCTTTTAAATACTGTTGGAGCACCAGGAAGCTGGGTCTAGGGAGTTTCCTGATGTGGAAACCATGATGAAAAGAAAATAAACTTTGGCCACTATCTTTAGAAAAATGGTCTTGTCTAATCATGTATTAATATATAATTCATATAGTCTTCCACAGTTTGGTTAAAAGATATCAAAGGGTTCAACTACTATGATAGTTCTTTGTTTCTGCTGATATCATAAAGGAGTCTCAATCCTGGTAGTTGCTGGTATGCAGACAAAAGATACACGCATTTTCTCTACCTATTATAAATAATCCAGGTATAGCTATATACTCTTTCCAATGACCTTCAGGGTAATAAATGTATGAATTGTTCTCTGGTGAACTAGAGAAAAATTTAAATTTCCCAGAGGAAATCTAACAAGCACAGTGATCTATTCTGACACTGTTACCATCAGTATTCAAGTTTTCTTCAGTTCCATATCATTTGGTCTTGCAGCTGCTTAGCCAATGAGATTCAGAAGGGTAGGATTCCAACGCTGGCATACAACAGGCAGAATGATGCAATGTTCTGTATTTTTTTTAATAAGGAAAATTATTTTGGTTCTGTTTATGGCAGAACAGGGAAGAGACTTTTAGGTTCATCTACTTCAGCGGCAAACGGTACAATGAGTTGTTAGGAAACTAATTCAGGAGAACTACTCTTGACTGCGTTTGCACTGGGGTTCTTGGACATCACAGAAGACATGATATGAGTCACACTAGCTTGCTTAGTGATGCCAACTTTGAACCCAAGTCTAACTTTCTTTGTACACCACTGTTTCGGGGAACTACTACGTGCTATACCCGCATGGCTGGCTTAGCATCACAGGTGTATCTCATGACTGGCTCTCACAGCATAGACCCAACAGACTCAGGGTATGCTTTTGAATCTGAAAGCTCTTACCTCTGTGACTTTCTTTCGATCAACCACGAAGTGATCGCAGGAGTTGATGAGACTTAAAAGAGCAACCGCATCACATTCCTCAGGTCCTCGTTTGTCTGCTAGTCCTCGGGGCATGAAGGCCTATAGCAAGGGAGGGAGGAGGGGGACCTGAGCCTCTTCCAACTCTAGGAGATGGAAAGGCGATGGTTACTTGTCTGTTTTCCAAATGATGACTGAAATTCTCTTACGCACTGAGGTTTCAACTTAGAGCCTCATGGGCCCAAAATGCAAGTAGGGAAACAGTGTCACAGCTAAACCTTGGTCAAGGGCAATAACTGAAGGGTTGTACTATCCCTGCTATTAGATACATATGATATAACCGGCTTTCCATCCTGTCTTAATGGCATATAAACAGAAAGCATGAGTAGAAGGCACCTTTTTTCTTTTCCTTACTGAAATTTCAGTGGTTGAGTTGTTAAATAAAAAGATTTAAAAATAAAATAAAAGTGGACAGATTCTAAACGACTTGAGGAAGTTCGGTATGGAAGTAATACATTAAGAGTCTGGGCTTTGGAGTGAAAACTGGGTTCAAACGCCAGCTCTGTCATTTGCCAACTGTGACCTTGGTCAAGTCACCCTCAGATTCCTTATCAGTAAATGGGGGATAACTGTCCTTATCTACTTCAAAGGATATTGTGAGAATGAAATAAGAGAATGCAGGTATAGCACTAGCACAGTGCTCGGTACATGCCAGTAACCAGGACATCAATGCAGGCAATTATTATGTAGATGGTGCAAGGCGAGTAGGACCCACATAGGAGTTACAGATAGAATCCGGGGATGGGAGATACTAGATATACCAGAAGGGCCTCAAGCTAGCAGGATCTTGCCTTTAGTAGGATTTTATGGCACAGACTCCCAAAATGGTGTTACAGGAAAGCTTGGGCGTATTTCTTTCCTGAAATATTTCTCAACTTATATCGGGATGTAACAACTTTACTAGGCTAAGAATCACAAGGGTACTCTCCTGCCAAGGAAGTAACAAAAAGTTACTCACAATAAACTCTAAATAGGCTGGGTACAGTGGCTCATTCCTGTAATCCCAGCACTTTGGGAGGCAAAAGCAGGAAGATCGCTTGAGCCCAGGAGTTTGAGGCCAGCCTGGGCAACAAAGCAAGACTCCCATCTCTATTAAAAAAAAAAAAAAAAAATTAGCCATGCATGGTGGTGTGTGCTATAGTCCCAGGTACTCAAGAGGCTGAGGCAAGAGGATTGCTTGAGCCCAGGAGTTCAAGGTTGCAATAAGCTCTGATTACACCACTGCACTCCAGCCTGGACAAGAGAGCAAGACCCTGTTTCAAAACAGAAACAAAAACAAAAAACAACAAAAAAGACCTATTTTATTTAAGAGACCTGTTCCATTGAAAACACATCTCAATAGGCAAGCAACTACAATGCCTCCTACAGGGCTGCTCATGAAAGCATTCTGAAAAGGCTGGGGTAAGTGCTCATGTATGCCAAGGAGAGTCAGCGCTACGTTCCTGATGGTGGTGAAATCATACACCTGAGTCCCACATAATTCAGAATTTTGTAAACCCTGGCTGGCCCCTATCAACAGGTACAGTAGCCAGTACCATCACTATCTTTCTGTGCCTTAATAGCCACAGACATGCTGACCCTCTGAAAGAAATCTATTATGGGCCGGGCGCACATCTGTAACCCCAGCACTTTGGGAGGCCAAGGCGGGTGGATCACCTGAGGTCAGGAGTTCAAGACCAGCCTGGCCAACACGGTGAAACCCCATCTCTACTAAAAATACAAAAACCAGCCGGGTGTGGCGGCACGTGCCTGTAATCCCAGCTACTTGGGAAGCTAAGGCAGGAGAATCGCTTGAACTCAGGAGGCAGAGGTTGCAGTGAGCCAAGATTGCTCCACTACTCTCCAGCCTGGGCAACAGAGTGAGACTCTGTCTCAAAAAAAAAAAAAAAAAAAAAAAAGTCTATTATGAATGCTACAAAGGTTAACGAAGAAGCTAACTAACTTACCACAGGCAAACTAATGCCATGAAACTGAGGAAAAGAAGCTCTGAAAAATACAAAAAAAAAAATTAGTCAGGCATAGTGGCATACACCTGTAGTACCAGCTACTTCGGAGGCTGAAATGGGAAGATCACTTGAGCCCAGGAGGTGGAGTTTGCAGTGAATTGAGACTATGCAACTGCACTCAAGCCTGGGCGACAGCGCAAGACCCTGTCTCAAAAAGAAAAAAAAGAAACTGCTGAATTCAGCTGTTGCTGGGAAGAAAATGCAAAGTTAGTGGGGTCTTAGTCACCTCCAAATCAGGTGTAGTAGTTTTTCTTTTCCATTATAAGGTAGGTCCTGTCTGGCATTTTTCTCACCAATATAAGCCAATCTCTTCCACGTTAAAGTTTTTGTTTTGTTTTTTAGAGACAGGGTCTTGCTCTGTTGCCCAGACTGGAGTACACTGGCACAATCACAGCCCACTGCAGCCTCAAACTCCCAAGCTCAAGCGATCCTCCCAACTCAACCTCCCAAGTACCTGGGAGGATTACAGGCATGCACCACCATGCTTGGCTAATTTTTTGTATTTTTTGTAGACATGGGGTTTCGCCATGTTGCCCAGGCTGGTCTTAAACTCCTGGAGTCAAGTGATCCACCTGCTTCGGCCTCCCAAAGTGCTGGGATTACAAGCGTGAGCCACTGTGCCTGGCCTTGTTAAAATTTTATTTTAGTAATTATTCCCTTTCTTCAGAACTGGAAGCCAACAGGGAGGCTCTGCGGCATCCTTGCAGTGAAAGCAGTGTCTTAAAATTGTACTGCATACCACCGTGTTCCACACGCCAAACACACAGCAGTGAGAAACATGTTATTGCCTCTATCCTCCACTGTCTCTTTGCTGAGTAGGAGATGGGGCTGGAAAATAAACAGAGGCCCAATCGTGCCAGGCCTTATCGGCTCTGGAAAGGTGTGGGGTTTATTCTAAGGCCATCAGGAAGCCATCCAAGGGTTTTAGGATGATCTGATTCCCATTTGAAGACTGTACATGCTGCTGTGTGAAGGACCGACCACAGATGCTCAGAGCAGCAGAGGCCTGGTAGGAGGCCTGGTAGGAGGCCTGGTAGAGGCCTGGTAGGAGGGTGAGAGTTGTGACGTGGAGATGGAAAAGAGGATTCCAAAAGTATTTTGCAGGTACAAACAAGGAGAGAGGGGGTACTGAGAGGGAAAGAGATGAAACGAGTGATTCTAGAAAGTTGGTAATGGGGAATGGGCATAGGGTAGGGGGCAAAGACAAACTGTTCTACTTTCAAACTAAATAAAATGTGCTCCATAGGCGATGGAGTGGAGGGGGTAAGTAAGCAGTTGGATGTGTGCGTCTAGAACTCAGAAGAGAGGGCAGGGCTAGAGCCACCAATTTGGGAGCCAGTTAGCATTTAACACCACAGGCCTGGGCAATGTCACCAGAGAAGAAAGGAACAGAAGATGCCCGGCCCCGAGTCCCGGGGAAGGCCAAAAGACATTCAGAAGGAGGCTGAGCAGGAAGAGCCAGGGAGATGGAAGGAAAGCCAAGAGGGTTTCAAGAGCAGCCAGTAGTGCCAAATGGCTCTGGGAGGTAAGAGAGATGAGGTCATAGATGCAGTAGAGTGACGGGGGCAGAAGCCGAGGCAGAGTGGGTTGAAGAGGAAGTGAGGGCAGAGAAGAAGAGAACAGGCATGAAACCTCTTTTTTGAGAAGCTTTGCTGGATATGTGTATAGGAGGCAGATAGAGAAATGGGGAGACAGCAGGAGAGAATGATCAAGGGACATTTTTCTTTTTGTCTTTTTTTTTCTGAGACAGGGTCTTACTCTGTCACCCAGGCTGGAGTACAGTGGTGCCACCACAGTTCACTGCAACCTTGACCTTCTGGGCTCAAGCAATCCACCCATTCCAGCCCCCCAAGTAGCTGGGATTACAAGCACACACCACCACAGCTGGCTAATTTTTTTTGTATTTTTTGGTAGCACACACCACCACAGCTGGCTAATTTCTTTAGGTATTTTTTTGTATATTTAGGGGTTTCACCATGCTGGCCAGGCTGGTCTTGAACTCCTGAACTCAAGTGATCCACTTGCCTCGGCCTCCCAAAGTGCTGGGATTACAGGTGTGAACCACCGCGCCCAGCCACGCCCGGCTAATTTTTGTATTTTTTTGTGGAGACAGTTACAGGGTTTTGCCATGTTGCCCAGGCTGGTCTCGAACTCCTGAGCTCAAGCAATCTTCTCACCTCTGCCTCCCAAAGTGCTGTGATAACAGGAATGAGCCACCACATCTGGCCTCTTGAAATCTTATTTTCCAAGTATTTATTCAAGTGTTTTTTAAAAAAACAGCTTTCTTGAGATATAATTCACCCATCTACACATTACAATTCAGTGGTTTCCAGCATATTTAAAGAAACCATCACTACAGTCAACTTTAGAACATTTTCATTGCCATGAAAAGAAACCCCATACCCATTAGCTATCATCCCTCATTCCCCAAAGCCCTAGCAACCACTAATCTACTTCTGCTTCTGTGGATTTGCCTATTCTGGACATTTCTTTTCTTTTCTTTTCTGAGACGGAGTTTCGCTCTTATTGCCCAGGCTGGAGTGCAATAGCACAATCTTGGCTCACGGCAACCTCCACCTCCCAGGTTCAAGCGATTCTCCTGCCTCAGTCGCTGAGTAGCTGGGATTACAGGCATGCGCCAACATGCCCGGCTAATTTTTTGTATTTTTAGTAGAGACAGGGTTTCTCCTTGTTGGTCAGGCTGGTCTCAAACTCCTGACCTCAGGTGATAGGCCCATCTCGGCCTCCCAAAGTGCTGGGATTACAGGCGTGAGCCACCGTGCGGACATTTCTTATAAATGGAGTCTAAATGGAATTTATATAAAATAGACATGTCATATAAATATAATATGTGATTGGTTTCTTTCACTCAGCATACTGTTTTCAAGATTTATCCACATTGTAACATGTATCAGTACTTCATTCCTTTGTTACATTGTTACAGCAAAACAATATTCCATTGTACAGAGATACTGCATTTTAAAAATTCCATTCATCAGCTGATGGGTATTTGGGTTGTTTCTACCTTTTGGCTATAGTGAATGGAGCTGCTATAAACATCTGTGTATACTTTTTTGTATGAATGTATGTTTTCATTTCTCTTGGGAATATACCTAGGAAGGGAACTGCTGGGTCATGTGGTAACTGTTTAATTCTTTCTTTTAAAAAATTTAAATAAACCATGGCTATATTAAAGCTTTTTCTATGGAGATGGGAATGAGCTGCAAGAGAGAGAGTGGACAACTGAAGCCTCAAAGGCCTTGAGCAAGAGAAAAGGGATAAGATCCAATACATGAGTGGAGGTATGAGGCAATAAGAGGAGAGACACCCTTCCTCCTCTGTAGCAGAAGGAAATAGATGGTGCACATGGAGATTAGTTGGTGTTGGCAAAAAGAAGAGGAAGTATAGTCAGCCCTCCATATCTATGGGTTCCACATTCATAGGATCAACCAACTGTGGATGAAAAATTCTCAGAAAAATAAAATAATACAATAGTAAAAAGTAATAGAAATTTTAAAAAAAAAAGCATAACTATTTACATAGCACTTACATTGTATCAGGTATTATAAGTAATCTAGAGATGATTTAAAGTATATAGGAACATGCAAATGCCACATACATCGTTTTGTATCAGGGACTTGAGCATCTGTGGATTTTGGTATCCTTGGGGGTCCTGGAAGCAATATCCCATGGATAAGGAGAGACAACTATATATGTCCAGGGGCCTCCATCAATTCCGTGAAGCATGAGCAAGGGCGGAGGAACGGGAGTGGGGATTTGCTGAGGAAAAGTAGTAGTCTCCAGAAACAGAAGCCTAGAGAGAGATGTGGCCAGACCACTGGGGCTCATGATCAAGAATGAAAGTGAAACTAGTCAGCTCCCTTGTGAGATTCTTTCCCACTAATCAGAAGTAGAAAATGTTGTCATCAGGACTGGAGTTGGGCCAGGCAAGTTCAGAGAAAGGAGGAAAAAAAAAAAAGCGGAGATAACAGCAAGGGACTGATTATACTGATAGGCCATGGAATCTGGGCTAGCTGAGGTGACAAAGGCAGGCAGGAGGGCAGAGGGTGCTGGGTATTCAGGAAGCAGTGGAAGCCTCAAAGAAGCGGAAGTAGTATGGGGCACAGGGTTGGGGGCAGGGGTGTGTGAATAAGTGTGCCAAAGGCCAGCAGGATGTTAGACACTGAGACTTCCTGTGCTAAGGTCCAGGGTGTGGGCATGCAAGCGGGAGGCTGAGTGGGAGTACAGCAGAGGATGCTAGAATCAGGAGCCCAGAAACTGAGAGGATGGGGTTGGACTAGAAGGTCTGTAAATGACAGCAACCAAGAGGAGCAAAGAGGGGTATAGGTAGCATAGGCTACAAGAGGATTCCAACGGTGTGAAAGCAGCAACGGAGACCAAACAGATGAGGGACAGGCATTGCAAAGGGCAGAGTTTTCTTTCTTTCCGTTTTTTTCTCTTTTCTAGGTAAAAGTAGAAGTCAGCAACTCTATGGCTGCAGTGGGAAAAAAATGGGGAAGAATGTGTAGGTGTGGTGGGTTTGCCGGCTCGTGATACCCAAAAGTCTGGGGACCCCTGATATAGTTCAATTTTTTAAGACAGGGTCTTGCTTTGTCACCCAGGCTGGAATGCAGTGGTGTGATCACAGCTCCCTGCAGCCTAGACTTCCCGGGCTCCAGCGATCCTCTTACCTCAGCCTCTTGAGTAGCTGGGACTACAGGTACGCACTACCACACCAAGCTAATTTTTGTATTTTTTGTAGAGATGGGGTTTTGCCATGTTATCCAGGGTGGTCTTGAACTCCTGAGCTCAAGCCATCCTCCCACCTTGGCCTCCCAAAGTGCTGGGATTACAGGCATGAGCCACCGCGCCCAGCCCCAATTCCTTTCATTTTTGAGATTGGGGAGCACAAGCTGGCGCAGTGTCACACCACAGCAGCTGAGCCAGGACTCAGATCACCTGCTTCCCAGGCACTGCTCCTTTCCAGTGCCCACTCTGTGCCTGCTGATGACCATGGCATGTAGACTGACTGCTAAAGTCAATTTGTGTTAGGAAGCCACTTCTGGCTGTCCCTCTCCGTCCCTTACTGGGCAAAAAAATTTCCCACTCGGTCTACTTAGTAAGTGACATTGCCAAGATCTGAAGACAGATCCGGCTGCCTACCCCATCCCCAGCTCCCCAAAGTGCCTTTACCTGGGCACTTAAGGTGCTTTCTATTTTAGCTCTAACTTCCCTTGGCTTACTCTGTCATCCTTATAGCTTCCTATAGCCAAAAAGAGCTGATGAGCTGTTCAGTGAGTCTACCCTCAAACAGGCCACACATGAGTCTCCCTCCCTCTCTGCCTGTGCTCATGATGCTCGCTCTACATCTTGCCCCTACATCTCTTGTAGAAATCTTTCCTATAACTTTCCAAGCAGGGGTAACAAACTCAAATGCCCTCAGGAAGCAGACAAATGCCCTCAGTGAAGCTTCTACTTCACTAAGCTGGGTTGGGTCCCCCACACCACCCTTGAACCGCCTAGATCCTTGATCAATCTCTCTCTCCGCATCTGTTTATGAGGCCCCGGCGACCACAGGACCAGACAGCCATCCCGAGTGCTGGGTGACCCGCCGCCTCCTCCTTCCGTCCCAGCCTCAGGCGCTTACCTTGGCCACCTCCCAGGCGTCCACGGGCCAGCGGCCCGGCCGGCAGTTTCCCCAGTGCACGTCTCCATTTCTGTTGACGTGATGTCTCAAAATCTCCTGTTTCCATTCAGCGCACACCTGACACTGAGGCTGAAACTACAGGAGGCGGCGGTGAGCAGGGGCCCAGGAGGGAGGGGCGTCGCGATTGGCCCTGCCTCGCGGAAGGAACAAGACACTTGCGCTCTGGGTCTGGGACAGGAACGGGGATGAGGAGGGGTGGGGTGGACACGGTGGTCAAGGCCCCGAGCCAGGTGCTCACCTGACGGGCGCGCGGGCTGCACCGTGAGCCGCCGCGGCAGACGGCGCGTGGCCCCAGGCCGGGGGCTGCGGCGAGTAGGCCGTGGTGGAAGGAGAGCACCTCACGGCCGACGAAACCCTGCAGGCAGCTGCGCAGCAGCAGCAGGCAGTGGCCCGCCTTCACCCAGTTCTTGTACTCAGCGCAGTTGAGGCGCGCCGCTAGCTCCGACAGCACCATGTCTCCCCGCTTGTACCCAGGAGACTGCGGGGCGTGGCGGACAGCAGTGCGCAGGCGCGGCGGACGGCAGTGCGCAGGCGCGGAGCCTGGGAGGTGCCCGAGGCAGCGACGCCTGCGCCTGCGCCTGCGCGGCGCGGCGCCACCGATCCCGGGGCGGGGCGTCTTGACTTCCGGGGCACGTCGGCTCCACCCAACTTGGGTGACGTCTGACGTCTAAGAACTTTGGTGCTTGGGGAAGCAGCCGCTATTTGAAACCCTTAGGCCTTCTTCGTCCCCCAGAGACCCTGTCAGCATCCAATTCGACTTCCTCTCCTAATGTAGGGCACTTCTGTTTTAACTTTTTTTTATTGTACAGATGTACAAGATACTCAGGGCACATTACTTGAATCGTGTGTGTTCTTTGCATTATACAATTCTAGAGTTACTGGTGCCTAAGCCCACACACCAGCTGTAGCAAATTGAGGTATTAGTGAACCGTGACCGCTGGCTGCCGGCGGTGTGCCAAGCTGACCCAAAACTCAAAATCCCCCGCCACTGGACCACCTAGAAGGGGGTATTTGCCTGTTTAGGGCAACACATCATTTGGATTCTAGAAGGCTGCACGTCTGAGCCAGATAAGGACATCCTGAAGCACCTAGCAAAGGTTAGACGATAACTATCTAGTATTCTTGGTTATATGATAATCAGTGCTCCTTGCACATGGAAGTCTGATTTAAGTTCCCAAAGAAGTGCCACAAAGGTCAGAAGGCATTGGGATTGTCAACTCCAAGTGACAAGTCAAGTCAGTTTTAGTTGTTTTTAGTGAGCTTTCTGAGCTTGGAAAACATGTCAAAATTGTGTGTAGTTAAAAGCCTCTGAGGAAAGAGTCCAAAACATTAAACCTTCCCCTGACTGTGGTTCACAGCAAAAATGCCCAGTGTTTAGAAGCACTAGCTCAGACTCAAACTGCCCCTTCTTAGCAGTTCGATCTTAAGCAACCTTAATTTGATCTCAGGCAAATTACATTTCTCTCGGCCTCCATTTAGTCATTTTTAAGAGGAGGATATCAATAACCTACCACACTGGGTTGTTGTGAGGATTAAACACACATTGAAATATTAAGAAAATGCCTAGCACATAGTAAGCTCTCAATAAATACTTGCTATTATTTTATATTGACCTAAATATGCCCTTTCACCAATCAGTTATATTCTTGGGCAAGGTATTTTAACAAATCACTGGTCACTTGGAAGTGGAGGCAACTTACAGAAAATTGTGAGCATATCATGGAGTTCCTGGAGTTGTGCAGCACAGTGCTGGTTGGCCTCTGCTAACTTTGTCTTAATAACCTCAATGCTAAATCCATCCTAAGTAAATTTAAATCACATCCTTAGACACAGTGTCCATTCTCAAACCAAATGAAAAAAAAAAATTCCACAAGAAACAATGAAATATACATTAACATTTTCCCTCTATGTCCCTTGAATGTAAGTTCTCTTAAAATTTTCTGTATACTGATTTTATATCAAGAACACTTGGATGATAAATAAATATTAAGGTAAAATGTAACAGACATTTCTTTTGGGGGGAAATAAACTATGAAAGGAACAACTTTTTATATTGAAATTGGATCAGAATCCAGGGTAGCAAAGTTATAACTTCTTCAAGTTATCAAATTAACCACAGCCGAAAGAATGGCTGTTAGTATCCTTTGGCTGAACAGATTACTGTGTTAATTAGAACACAGTTATTAGTGGCTCTTAAATTCAAAGTCATATATATTTCAGTTTATGCTTGCACTTAACTCACTCAGTTAATTTTCAAACATAAGGTTCAGCTCCTGTTATTAACAACTTGACATGTTCTGTTGAAGCTCTCACTTTTCTTCTAATTCCGAAAGTACTTTTATACATTCTGAAGTGGCATTTCAGCAGATGGAAAAATGAAGATGGCAAATCAGGACCAATTTCTTATTTCAAGGTTAAATTAATACTAAACCAGACTATTAACGAAAACATCTTCATCAAAATTAACTAGAGAGAGTTGGTAGTTCTCTGAAACTTTGTATAAATTTTATTTATTACTGGAAAATACTAAAATCACATTGAAAACACCTTAAAGTTAAGTCCCAACCCGATTATTAGAGAAAATCACTTGGGCATCCAGTCCCTTTGATTGAACCTGGGTAACAAAAGAGGCAAAAGACATGATTTGTGATGAAACTTACTATTCAAATGCTAAATGTTTTCAAGCTTTAATAAGGTATATATCAATTCCAAGTACCAAGCATAATATAAAAATTCAAATTCATGGGTTTACTCTTAATAAGCATCAAAAGCAAATTCTGTTCACTGAATCCTATCTTTTGATTGGCACAATGCATTCAGAGATGAGTTATAATTAGGAAAAAAGAGCGTCCACTGAATGCATCATGTGTAAAAATGCAATTAACATTTCAAAACCACATTAAAAGGGAAAATACCTAAAAAGTTAACTCTTAATAAAATTATTTGAAACAATATTATCCTGCAGATAAAAATACATTTCTTGTATATACATGTAGATTTCTACATGAAAGAAAAGATTCAGCTCCAAATAGAAAAGGGCTGACCCTTGATAAAGACATCTTAGATTGCCAAACTGATGTGATTACCACTGTAAGAACTAAAAACAGAAGGATAAAAAGGTTAAGTTAAAGGAAGGATAAAAGTTTAGTCAACTGCTCCTGAACAGTGGCAGAGTTGGGTGAGAAGTGGGAGATGAAGGCAGAAATAAGACAAAGAAGAAAGGCAAAGAAGGCCTCAACTCTGATTGAAAATGAGTGGAGAATCAAGCAAAGTTGAGAACAGATATAATATAGGTGCAGTGAGACACTTCAAACTAGAATTTGGTAGTTGATAGTTATAGAAGCTCAATTAAATCATCTTAAAGTAGAATTAGACAAAGCATCTACATTTTAATGGAGAACCAGTCTTACAGTGACCAGATAACTCGGCATGGTATTATCATTTAAAAATTTTTCCTAAATACCATGAAGTCGGTAGAAGACCTTTGCATCAGATCATGTTCTTTGAAGCTGAAAAAAGTCCCTGACTGACTAGGAAAGACAGCACAGTGCTCCAAAAAGAAACCCTGCAGAGATGTATCAACACCAAAAACTCCATTTGACCCTGGACAGGCCCAGGATTTGGGATTCTTCAAAATGAGGGGAATGGACCAGGTTTCTTCCAAGCAAAACATTCTATCGTTTTGTTGACAATGAATTAAATTGAAATTGTTTAGAACAATCCCAATTTTGGTGGGGAAGGCAAGGAAGATAAGTTAAGCAAGATAAAGAAAGCTCACAGAAACTTCATGCAGGGGTACAGCATTAAAGTTCTTTGTTTCCTAATTAATGTTGTATGCAGAAGTATTCTGTAAACTAAATTTTCCTGATAGAAAAGTTCCCACATCCTCAACAAATGAGAATGATTGCATTATTTGGGATCCTTGATCAATATGAACCACGTACTGTCCCTTCTCAAAGACTAAGTTCCTTATTTTTCACCCAAATCCTATATATTGAAAGACAACTGAGGTGCTAAATGTTAACCACTAGTCAAGTTAGGAATGTCTGAAGAAAATATATTAACCTTGACATAAAGATGATGTTTTCGGTCAAATTTCAGACATGTATTATTATAAATTAGTAACTGGCTCCATCCACCAGGTTAAAGATGAAGGAGGGCCTAAGATGTCTCTTAGAGTTTATATACACACAAGTGAGTGTCACTGTTTTGTTTTGTTTTTGACCTAGTTTTATTAAATATTGCTTCCTTGGGGTGTGTTTATAACAACTCCCAGAACATTTCATGTAAGGATTCAAAGCGGTCATATTAAAATACAGCTTCAATATAAAGTTTATCACAGTTTTACAGTATTCAAAAATGACAGACCTGCCTTAAAAAACAAAACAAAAACCAAAAAAGGACTATTACACCCAAAACATAAGAAAACAATTAAATAAACAAGTTTGGCATTTTCATAACTTTATAGTATAAAACAGAATATTAAATTTATTACTGGCAAACGGACACTGATTTATTTCCTTTGAAATGTGTCCCATTTAAACACACTATACAAGTTCATTATACAAAAGATTGATGATCATTTTGATGAAAGAAGTGCACCCTGAAAATTTTTGCCAGTTTAGAATATTTAGCTCTTAAAGTGTTTAAAAAAAGTCCTTTTCCTTTTTTAAACTGAAGGCTGAATTCAGATTTTTTTTGTTGTCTCATCTGTCAGCCTTCCTGGTTTAAAAACAATAGTGTCTATGGACGCCCACCAGGGGGCAGTGTAAGATTAGCCATTAAATCACGAACAGCTGCAAATATTGTGCATTCACCTGCAACAGAGAAAAATGGTCATTAGCTATTCGCAATACAGGTAAGATGATGTTAACACACCGGTGGGGGAAGGGGTAATTAAATCTAAAATTAGTAAGAACTTTAAAGATCAAAATAAAAGACAATTTTAACTGCCCAGATTATTGGGGATTAAAGCTGTGAAGTATCAGATTATATTTGTTTGGATTTTTTTTCTCAGGAGGAAACTTCGAGCAAGTCCCAGTTAGGTCTGAATTTAGGAAGATATGGCTAGAGTTTCTGTTTAGAAACAGTGTAGCATTAGATAAGCCTTTGAAGTTGGGCTTTAAGGCTACTGAGTGCTTATGGGCATTTTGGATATCATAAAAACATCTAGTTTATATTTATGCATTAGTTACAACTTTGGTGGTATCTTTCAAACATTGCATTAAAGGCCAGATAAAAAATTTTTATGACAGCGCTGTCCAATAGAACTTTTTGTGATGATGGAAATGTTGTATAAGTGTGCTATGACTACTAAGCACTTGCAATATAGCTATTGTGACTGAGGAACTGAATTTAAAGTTTTATTTAATTTTAATTAAATTTAAGTAGCCACATGCTGGCTAGTGGCAGTTATACTGGACAGTGCAAGTCTCTGACATCTATTGGAGTTTTCTCCCAAAATTCAAGGAAATGGTCAACTTCCAGAGTTCAACATTAAAATCAATTATATACAAAAATGATTTTTCTTAAAAGCACTTCATCAGAAGAGAAGTGATGGGTGTGGGAGGTGGGGTGGGAGACTGAAGTATGGTGCACCAACAATCCAAAAACAAGATTTG